TTACATTTGTGACAGTGGCTGTATTGTAGTTTTTGGCTCTAAAAAAATTATCATGTACCATAAATTGGAAAAAGCTTTAATTTACTTGTTCCAGTTATTTCGGATTTAAGAGATATTTGGAGTTCGTGGCGGATGCTGACTTCTATTAAACAACACATTTAGAACAGTAATCAAATTCATGCAGTTTTCTGTCTACATGTGACTAGAAGCAATGTGGATATTGGACTTTGCCATTTTTGCCTGTCTTAGCCAGATTACCATAAACCTCTGCAATGAATGAGAAAGGAACAAGATCAGGAGGATTAAATGATTTGCACCTGCTCTATATAATACAATACATATGTAAATTGCAACTTATGTTTTCTACTTGGTCAGTATTATCTGATTTAAACCAGAAATAGGTTTGTGAAAGTAAGCTTTCATTAATTTATCTTCCGTACATTTATAAGTCATGTTCCAGAATTCAGAAGGCTCTACTTGAGTTTGCATTCCATGGTGTTTGCAAATATGTTATAGATGAGTTCTAATGCTTAAAACATCAATTTTAAAAGAAATGTGAGGCAAACGCTATGCCAAATACAAACATTCATAAAAAAAGTGGAATAAAGGATTAGTCCTCATTAGTAGTGTCCATAATAATAATAATAATAATAATAATAATAATAATAATAATAATAATAATAATGATGATGATGATAATGATGAGGATGATAATAATAAGATTAGGCTGACATGCAAATTCATAGTAATAATTGGTCTTTTAAAAAGGTATTTACAAAAATGTACATGCAATTTAAAATGAAAAAATTAAGCAAGTTATTTAAATCTTACAAACTACATTTTTGGTTTATAATTTTCTCTTTGTTCGTAAGACTGCAAAAATTAAGTTGATTCCTTTTTTTTTGTAAGGCGAACTTGGCCAAATCTGTGTATGAAATGTAACTAAATAAAGGAAGTTTTAATTCAGTAGACCTTTTACCAAGTAGTTTTTTTACCCTTGGATAATTACTTTATACTTTTATTTGAGTAAAAAAAAATGTAGTCATACTCTGGGCCAAATTTTGAATACTCTACCCACCTCTGCATTACAAACATCTAGATAAAAAAAAAAAAAAAAAAAGAATATGCAATTTTAGTTTGGAAAAGGCAAACTTCAAAGTGCATTTTTATTTTTGAAGATTTACTATGAAAGATCTGACAACCCTATTTCTGTCTGGAAAATATTGTGCATTTATCTGTTCTTATAACAGCTAAATTGAAACCAGAAATGTTAAGACTAAATTGTTTTATGACGTGTAACTACTTTTAACTTGACAGTTTGACCCATGTGAAAAAAGTCGGTATGCTTCTGCTCTATATTTTGGATAAAGGACGAAAAGACTGAAGGAAGGAGGAGGAGATATATAAACACAATATTTATAGAGGATCATAAATATCTATACACTGAAGGACTGAAGTGTAAACCATTTGTCGTATTGATACAAATCTTTGGAAAATATTCACAGAGCACTACATCAAGGTAATAATAAGCATATGATACTTAGATTAATATAGCAGCTGTAACAGCTGTATGCAAGCACTGCTCCATAAATTTTAGCAACACCCTCAAAGTCTGAAAGTGTGAATAGGAGAGGCCTTACAGACCTACTGGTGCTGCTTGAAGACCTTTTTTTGATTTGTTAAGGAACTTGACAAGCTGTTTTTATCATCCCCATAAAACAATGCATAGGCAATATGAAGCCATATATACCTCAGGTGGTTTTCTTTCAGAGCATGCATGTGTGTCGTTTTGTATGACTAACCTCATTAATGCACTGATGCAGATGCACTCTGCTAAAAGAACCACAGGATGCTCAGTGCAAATAATGTTTCAGGTTAAGGTCAGAGAAACAGAAAAGGGGAACAGCTTGATTAAAGACATTCCGGACAAAGACAGGGGCAGGTTAAGGACAAAATATATCATATATGATTTTTGACACAGCAGTAGGACGCAGTATCAAGCATTAGTATCATGTCTGGTAGATAAACCAGAGGAGGAACTGGATTATAACTGACTTGAGATGAAAGACAATTTCATTTCATTACTAGACAACCCTATTTGTCTCCATTTTGACGCACATTTTAATGCTTGCTACACCTAAAGTAAAATTGTTTTGGACAATCATGATGGTAACAACAACATTGGATTATTTAGGTTTAATTTAAGCTGTTTTCCATGTTCTATTGACAATAACCAAAATCACATACAATCTTATATAAGTAGCCATGGCATTGTGATACCATAAAAAGGCTTTAAGGCAATTCCTTTTGTCTCTGCTGTCTGCTTTAATCCCATTACATAAACAGGAGTCACTACTTGAATGCATAACTATTGTTTTTGATGCAAAACATGGTCCAATATTTTTTTTTTCCATGACTTTATGCATTATCTCTTCCAAACAAACTTCCAAACCAATTTTGTTAGTGTTGTTTGTTTTAAAAGTAGTGGACAGGGAACTTGAAAATAACTGATATAACATCAGTTTGGTAGAGAGACATACAAATATGCATAAAAGAGGAAAAAGAAAGAATGAATATTATTGATCTCTCATTGAGCAATTTACCTCTGCATTCAACCCACCCCCTTGGGGAGCAGCGGGCTGCCATTATGCAGCGCCCAGGGAGCAGTGTGGGATTAAGGGTTTTGATCAGATAGTGAAAAGAAGCAAATACTTATTTCAACACACCTCTTGCGACATAACTTTAAATACTTCCTATATAGATATGAGTAAATATTCTTATGTACTTGTATATCACAAGAAAAACAGCAAAATGACAGGAATAATAGCAATTCTAATTACAAAAACAGCAATGTGAAGAAGCTACCCTTCCTTTCAGTAATCATAATCTTGATTATGACAGTAGTAGTTGCAACAATAAAACAACAAAAACATTATCAGTAACAGTAATAATGATAACTATAATGTTAAGTTAAATTATAATTGATGTTTTCATCATAATAAAAAAAAAAATAATGATTGTAGCCTTTAAACATCTCTGCCCCTTATTTTTGAACGTGCATCCATCCATTTTCTTTACACACTTAAACAAGATGCTAAGCATAAGCTGTGGCCAGCTAACTTTTCTGATGTCAACAACCAGATGTTATGTGGCGATTTTCTTATCATGGAAAGTTTTTATTACGAATACACTGGATTATTTCTAATCTGTGGACACTTATGAATGAATGGAGTATAAACAATTGAAGACTGGATTTATAATACTGCTTCTGGATGCCTTTAAATGTATGTTTTTGTGGCTGCTTTGTCATGTTTACATTTTGATATGCTGCTATATCTGTCTTAAATGTGCTTTGGTGCTTGCTGTGTCCATGAAATGAACTAGGTGGTTGAATTGTGGAGAATCTCAGCTTTCCAACGATGTCTTACATGTCTATATTGGTAAACATTTATACCGGTGTAAGTTTCGTGCGTTCGACAGACCGACCGACAGCGACCCGACGGATTTTGAGAGGCTAAGGAAAACCAGTTGATTGCATTTACTCATTGAATAAAAGGCAATTTCTATGTTCAATAGTTCAAGATTTACCACTGACTCCTTACAAAGTTTACAAAGCTTGCCCTTACATTTATGAAACTATTTACTAACAGCAGCTCAGTAGCCTTTGATAAGTCTGGAGGAGCTGCAGAGACAAACAGTACAGGTGAAAAGATTTGATGATATTTTTTTGGTCCTGTCGAAAAACTTTATCTAATATGCTACAGTGTGTGTGGCATAAAACTGACACATTAGCCTGAACAGATTCCACGTTTCCACTGTGGGTGGACGGCCACATGTAGGTGGCAGTGTCATTCTGTGGAGAGGATTTTTTTTGCAGCAGGGACAGGACAGCTGGTGGGAGTTAATGGGGAGACGGATAAAAATCAATCCAGCAAAGCCCAGAAACATCATTAAAGGCTGCAGGGAACTTCCACAAATCAAAAACAACTCTTCACAAACTCTCTACATTAACTTTGACTGTGATTTAGCTATTTGCAAGGAAAAAATATATACACTTAATTTCCTTCATGTGTCAGGCTTTCTCTAAAACAAAAGAAAACATGTTGAGATAGGAAACAGAGTGACAGCAGCTAAAGGAACAACAATATTTGTGTTTCTCTCTAAAAAGCAGTTATTTGTTTTTTCATTCACTTTGTTTGCGATTTCCTATAAGTAATTAATCCTTTCAACATGCAATCAAAGTTCAATGACTTCAGCGAAAGTCCAAAACCTACCAGATGAACAAAAGACAAACAAAAAAACTCATATTAGAAAGTTCTTTGGTAAAAAACTGGAAAGCATTGTTTGCAACAAGGGGGTTGCAACAAAGTTAATCTTTCAAAACATCAGTAAGTGTGGCTTAATTAGGAGGTTTTTAGAGATCTAAAGTTTGGGGAAGAAATATCAACATATAGACTTCTATGGCAGGACAGAGAATGCAGAAATGAGAGCAGAAATAAAATAAATTAGAATCTAATCTGGCTTGACACAAACTCCATGCACATCAAGACATATAATAAATTAACCACCAGTATGTAAACAAAATCAGCTTTACTTCCAGAAAGTCAACCATGGAAGAAATAAATAACTTTTAACAAGCCAACTCAAAGTCAGCACCCTCCATTCTCTTTCTAAAGATCCCCTGTAGCCCCATAGTGTGGCATTGACCTGCCAGCAATAAACAGTAATCAGCTCAAATCACACGTGTGCACTACACAACAGATAAATTAAAACACAGACTGATGGAGACCAAGCCTCTGGTTGAAATCAATAGGTGCTTAAAGACACAGCAGGTATGAAGCTAATGCTGAATAACACTGCATTTATTGGAAAGCTGAGATGCAGCAGAGTTTCGGGTAGAGGGCTGCAGAAAATAAACGAACACCTGATTATCTCTGAAAGTGTGAGGGAATTAGAGTGTCAGTATCCCTCTGAGTGTGGATGGGGGGGCTGATACTCACCCATAAGTGGTGTTGCTGGCCCTCTTGCTGGTTGCCCTGGAGCGGCTTGACTTCAACTCTCCACTCATGCTCATGTCTGCATCAAAGAGCAACCAATTAACTTTGCGCTGACAGAGTCAAGAGCAACAAAGCTAATAAACAAAATGGACAAAGCAAACAACAGGAGGAATGCTCCGATTAACTAAGCTGCATTCATTATGCATGGAGCTGGGTTTATCTGCAGAGAAAAGGATTCATTTCATTGTCCTTTAGGTGTCAGTTTTGCACAGATGAGTTGCTGGTATTAAAGTATACTGAGGATTTCAAAAGTAAGTTTCAAAACATTTCTTTCCAACTTGAAAATGTTCAGTTTAAGCAACTGGACGTGAAGTTTTCTAGAATTCGTTCCACCTATAATCCAAGATGTTTCCTCAGTTCTAACTAGTGACATGTAATGGCGAATCCAGTAGGAGGGATCAGAGCCCCCTTTTGTCCCCCTAATTCTTTGTACAATATATTACAATATATTAATCTCAGTGCTCCCCAACACTAGTTAGGACTGAAGAAGCTTATTGGATGAGAGGCGAAACTTCAACTCCATTTTCCTAAACTGAACTTTTTTCAAGTTAACTATGACCTGGGTAACTGATAATCTTCACAGATATTTGGATCCAACATTATAAGGCACTTTTCATAGGCCAGAGGAGGTGCTTAGGTGACCAGACTGTTAGTTTAACAATGCTGGTTCCTGCCTGACATTCATCACATCTTTAAAGTTTAAACGTTACACATATTGGACTGTAATGCATCTCCATTAACAAAAAATATTCATGAGCACCTTTTCTTAATCTCCCTCTTTGTGTTAAAATGACCTTTTAATATAAAGTTAGATTTTTATTCACTAGATGGTAGAATGGATAAAATGGGATCCTAAATGGAAACATCTGGTCTGTTTCTATTTTGATTTATATAGCAATAGGATATGTTATTGCAAAACAACATTTTCTGAACGATCTGTACACAAGCGTTAAATTAATTTTATCTTAGCATAAAAAATTTTTTTGTTAATGAAATCAGGGAGACGAAATATGACAAACAATGAATAAAATGTTTTTTGTTTTGTTTTTTATATGTTGATACCAAATATTCTATGTGTAAGTTTTTGTCTGCAGGGGTTATGGTCACAAAAAGTCCAACTTAGTGCTACTAGGTTCCCAATGGGAATTTGGGACCAAGTAGCACTGACACTGTTGAGGAACACTATGGACAGTGGAAACATGCAAGAGAAGAGTTCTGTGTCGGAAGTTGTGGATGAGTCTCCTCCGTCCTACATTTTTTTATTTAGAGGAGGAAAGTGGGGACAAATTTGTTCTGGAACAGGACACCAGGGCGGCAGAAGCTTCATTTGGTGTAGAAGGCTTACAGCCGTACATGTTTGAGCCCTTGCCTCGCAACGCTGCCAGTTCTGTTAGCTCTACGCCTGCAGAAGACACAGACTTCCATCCCAGTGAACACTGGGACGTAACTCAATGGTAAAGTAAATGATACCTATTTCTTATTTCAATCGTTGCGTATATTAGCTGCGACATATAAATCAAGATGGTATGACCGAAAAAATTTGATTGACAGATGACCGTTGATATATGATTGGCCGAATTTAGGTGTACAAGCTGACGTCTAACTAACTGGCCTGCATGAAATAACGAAGAAAGAAAACCCCCACAGATTTTAAGGCAGGATTTTTTTTAAAATATAAATTTTTTAACTTTTGGGACAATATGGTGTGATAAACAATACATTTATATACATGTTTAAGCCAGAATGATTTGAAATTTAAATATGACTTCCCTATGATTTAAAAAAAAATACACACAAATTACAGCTGGAAAATTTGCTAAATACATCAACTTCAAACAACAAAAAGATTATTGATAAGATAGAAAACCGATTACATTACAGCAGCATTAATAATACGATTGTTAAACTTTTTGTTTAAAGTTTTTGTGTAATTAATACAACACTGCAGTGTTTATTACTTCTCATCCCGATTTAAGCTAAAATCCCAATTATGGTGTGTCGGTTTTGTCTATAGTTTGCAAGGTGACTTCAAACATCCACATCATGGCTTTGTTTCCACCATCCGTTCAGCATACATATCCATACACATGTTCTCACCAGCTAATTAATCATAAATCACCTTGATTACAGTGTACGCCAACAGTTAGGTGTTTGCACAGTGGTTGTGGGGTGCTGATTTGCCCATAGAGAGGCATAAAAAGACAGAAAGACAAGGGGGGGTAGTCCGGCTTGACATGGACAGATGGGCGGTGAATGGAGTGTGACTGGGCCAGCTGCACATACACTCACACAGTGTGACTGTCAAATGGCTGGGAGCTACAATTAATTAAGTATGGGTCTGAATGTGTGAAAGGAAAATTAGACATGTGTACGTGCCTTTGCCTCCCACAGCAGAGACACTTTTGTGACAGTTTGTGGCCCAACAGTGCCCTGTTGGAAAGCTTCTCTGCAGTCGAAGGTTTCTCTGCTGGAGGGCACTTGCCCCAACAGCAGACAGAAAATCTATCCCTTATTCAGAACCGCAAACTCATGCACATCCTAACAGCTTATGGAAAATAAAGTAAAAAAAATAAAAAAAATATTTTTTTTTATGTCTTCAAATTCACAGAATTTAAAGCACCTGAGTCGTCTCAAGCATGTAGTTTCGTGCTATTTCAGACAAAACAAGACATAGAAATCTGTATTTCACTTCTATCTGTTTCATCCTTTGCAAGAACACCACCTTCTTGCACAAAACAGGCTTGGAAAACAAAACATTCTGATGTTTTACGATGCATTTACTGAGCAACGCAAAGACGCTGTGATTGACTGCATGATGGAGCCATTAAACAGAACTAGATACTAAGATGCTGCAGAGCACAGTTGTCTCTCTCAACGGGTGCAAAACCTCAGGAGGTAATCAGCGTGCCTATTCGTAAACAGGATCCTACATGCCATAATTAGCATCACCAGAGCAGACTTCACTTCTAGGCCACACACACATATATTACCTTTTTTTCGATAGTTACACAGACTTGACATTAGCTTCTTTATATTTGTTTCTATGGCCAGAACTTAACTCTAAATCTAACCATAGGGTACTTTATAAAGGGTACTTACAATGTATTATATGTTGCAAAAATTATCCTCAAACAAGAAATTTTAGAAAACATACACACTGCCACACATACAGAAAATGTGCTATTATCCAGATTTATACGGGGCTCAAAAAAAATGTATTAATTAATGCAAGCCCAATAAAAAAGAGACAGCACAAGAGATATAAAACAGATATTATATGTTTATCTTAGTATTTTCAAAACCCTCACTGTTCTTGGTCGCTGTCCTGTTTCAGTCAAATAAAAGAGAAAATGTATTCTTTGGTCCTTTAACTTGTGCTCAACAAAATTATACAAGCAAGAAGGAAGCATACTAATCATAAAAAGTACTGATTGCATATTTCTAATATTTACTTGTAAGGAGATTTGCTCTCTTTGTTGAAAAAGAAAATTGCACAAACTTAACAGGATAGCTTCCATGAAATGGTGATAATAATCAGGTTTGTTTCGATGGTTTGGTTTAGTTTTCAAAAACATTATTTTGCTCAAGATTTTGTAAATAATTATAGTTCACAGTACACATTTAAATTGTCCATAGTACTCAAACCTTTTCAAACTGTTTTTCACTAAAACTACAGACGTACGTAAACCTGATTATGTATTTTTAAGATGAGACAAAACTAAGAAATTGTAAAGTAGAAGAGAGAAAGGGAGAAAGGATGCTTTGTCAGATAAAAAGTTTGGCATAGCAGCCCTCTATTCTCCGGTACTCTTAAAGCTTGTTTTCTTATTGCCATCAGAGGTCCAGCTCGAACTGTAACCAACTGTTTTAAAGAGCATTTGTTGTCCAAAAAAACCCAAAACAAACAGACCAAGGATAAAGTTGTGGATAGATTAATGTTGACGAGCTGGGTAAACTTCTGCTAATATTTTTTAATTCAAGTGGACTAATTTGATGGTAGGAGGAGAATTACCTCTACACTCACCCAAGATTTTCAAGATTAAAGTAATTGTAAAAAGGTGTTCTAGACTGATAAGAAAAATAATTACTAATGCCCTACCAGCAATGTTTGGAAGAGATTCTTAATCAGTATATCGCCATAAAATAGCTATTCCCATGATAACACATGGTGGTGGCAGCATCATGCTAAGATTTCTTTTTTTTTCTTCTAAAACCAGCTAAAATTAAAAACAATCCACTGGATATTGTTTCCAAGTTTGAAGACATTTCGCTTCCCATCCAGGAAGCTTTTTCAATTCAAATGTCAGTTATAGCATTGAATTAGAGTTTTTTTTTTTTACAGTACCCCGAAAAGGCCTTGTTTTTGTTTTGAAAACATGCAAATTGGAACAGACGAAGGGGTCCACCCGTTCGGAATGGGGGTCGTTTGGCTTCTTTTGTTAGACTGCAATACTCCATACCCATCTAAGTGTCTGAAAAGTCGGTCATTAAAGGGGATCATTTGACTGGCTGAATTGACGGGGTCCTCCGCTCTCCTGTACAGGGGGTGGGGCTGCAATGATAATGGGAGGGGATTTACTCAATTGCTGCATTCTAGGTTTTTGAAAGCTGGAACCTGAGTCCACCCCCTCGTTTAGGGTTGGTTTTTCTTTCTTAACATAGATCGCTACCTTCACGCCACTATCAAACGACCTATTTTCTCAAATACAGACCTATAACCACCTCTCCACAGACACATGGTCAAACACAGAAGAGCTACCTGGACAAGACTCTGCGGTACATCAACACCTTATGAACAAAGGACATTCTATTGAGGACCGGAATGTTCACATTTTGGATAAAGAAAAAAAAAACGTAGAAATCAACACTATTCCTGACATTTTGAATTGAAAAAGCTTCCTGGATGAGAAGCAAAACGTCTTCAAACTTGGAAACAAAGTCCAGTGGATTGTTTTTAATTTTTTGAGAACTTTCACCAGCATAAAAAACATATTGACAACCCTTAACTTGCAACCACGCCTGCAAAGGAATCATTTAGATTATAAAAAAAATATAAAAAAATTGCCCAGTCAAATAACCTGTCGATTATTTTGATAGTCCCACTACTTTTTTTTTCTTTCCTCAGATTTTGTTTTGGGCTCCATGGTTACCAGGAGGTAATTTCATTGGTTTGGGATTGACACAAAAGGGTTTCTTTGAATAGACTGGATTATTTTACTCCTCCAGATTACACTGCTGTCCTCTAGTCTGTAAACAGGCACAGATTTAAAAAAAATATAACACTGAATAACTAATTATTGATTATGTATAATAGTTTGCAACAAATTGTCACTGTCTGGTAGAAGATTCTACCTTCAAAAGCATTTTTGACATTCCTTTTACATCACAACTGGTGGATCATACAGATAATTCTTAACAGTTTAAACCACAAACCCCTAGTTGATCTTCACTCTGTGTTTTACCTTGTTCAAATTTATCTCTGACTAAGTCTGCAAAACTTTCTAAATTTCACATTAATTGTTCTTTATTATGGCTCTAGCTGTGTCTTCTACTTACTTGCTGCTCATGCCAAATTTGAACTACCACCTGGTTTCAAAGCCCAAATATAGATATAGACTGGGTTAGGTTATAGACTGGTCATTCATTTGCACCATATTTAAATTAGTAGGGAAATTAGAAATCAATCAGAAAATGCTCTCCTTTAAAAATATTTAATGGAACAAATGTGAAAAAACTTTTGCTGCTTAATTTTTTCCTTTTTTGGCTTCAATAAAATGAAACATTTTTAAGCGTCCTCTCACAATTCAAAGATATTCATATATATTATTATATTAAATTTATATTTGTTTTCTCCATTAATTAATTAATTCAGAGCAACACTTTAGGGATAATATTGTAAAGAAACTTGAAAGACATAAATGAGACATTATTATGATCTGATGTTTAGGGTTAGTTGCTAAAACTGGATTAAATGACACACAGAGGTCATGCAATCAGCCATAATGAATTATAAATCCTCTGCCACATTTTACAGCCTGTCTCTTTGCTCTACAGTGGGAGCCAGACTGATCCCTCATACAGGCACAAAGTCAAAGCTGACTTAATATGACTCGAAACAAAATAACACAGAAATAATAAAACAAACCCTTTCTTATTCAAATTCCCTACAGGGGTTTCTCAATAAGTAGAGTCACTAAGCAGCTGCCGTGGGAAATTGTGCTTAAATTCTGGATGCGGTTATGTGTAACAGAAAAAACATTTTTTTCTTTTTTAGTGCCTTTGCTTTCATTATTATCTTTAAAGCAAGGTTCTAAATAATTGTAGAAATCCAAAATCTGACGCTAGGAATATTTGGGAGGTAATATAATATTATGAATGGATAAAAAAGCGGGAATTTCTCTCTCAGCTTTCTTTCTTGTAGTTTAATAGGGTAGATAAAATCCCATCTTTATTTATCTATCTAATTCAGCTAAACGTTTTAACATGAAAAATGCAGTTATTACTGATACTCAAACTCCTTTAATGGAATAGCTCTTCTGTTATTTATCATTTAAGTTGATTCACCTAATGTCTGTTTCTGGGTGACTGTTTTCTAGGCTTGATATATCCTCCTTAGGGTTGTGGCGAAGATGAGAACAACTCCATCAGGATCTGTATGAGTGGAGGTTAACCCCCATGGACAGGTTGCCACCCTCTACTCCTGTGCCAAAAACATCCACCACAAACAACCAGACTGACACAACCACACAATAACAACTGAGGGGCTGTTTATTATCCTAACATGTTTGGCTATGAACTGCAGGAAGAGGCCTGATATCAGTGGAGAACTCTAGCAGTCACAGAAAATTCCTACTGTAAGGTAAAAAGCTTACCTTCCAGGCCTGTGCTGACAGCATTAACCATCAGAACCACAATGCATCCCTTCAAGTTAATCCTTTATTTGTTTCTTTTCTTGCTATGTGCTTTTTAATCTTTTTATTGTCTCTTTTTAATCATATTCTAATTAATGCTCAGCACAAACAGTGGCCTAAATCATTTTTTGACCTTTTCATTGATTTGATTATGAAGAGCACCCTTATTTTTAGCATGTATTTTGTACTGAAAATATTAGTTTAGTTAGTTTAATATAATGTGTCACTTTTCTTTCTTGCAAAAACACAGTGTACTTTTCTTCACTTTCTAGAAATAAAAAAAACAATTCGCACAAAGTCTTCATTTCCCGCAAAGGAGATCTGTTATTCTGCCTTTTGGTAGTATACATTTAAATGTGGTTTAATAGCACCTCTGTTTTTTGGTGACTTGATCTACTCTACATATCCTTTCACTGTCATAAAATTAGTTCCAATGCTGATGACTTTGTAGTGTGACTGTAGCTGGAAATGTCTAAGAAAGAGAGAGAGAGAGCAGATAAAGTTTTATGTGTTATGTTCAGGAAGAACCTGGCAGATTCAGAATATTCAGAGGTGTTAAATTTTGAGCAATACCACTGAAGCGTCCCTGACAAAATAATACAGCCTCAGCCAAAAATAAGTCATGGTTTTGCTGTAAAATCTGTCAGAAAGCAACAAACTTGCCTCAACCATCTAAAAAAAAGAGAGAAGAGTGTTGTGTCTGCATTCACTTCTAAGTACTCAGTCAGTGTCAAGCTTCTGCTCCTGCGAGCCTCAGAAAGTAATCTTATTAAGGATCGGCTTTAAAGGTGACATTCACTTTAAAGCTGAAGAACAAAAGATAAACATGTAGGTTTGATCATCCACCAGAGAGTGGGAGCAAGACTAAAGGAAGTCGACAGAGGTTTCGGTCTCTGAAGCCTTCACAGTCTGGGTCAGGTTCTGACCTTGGCAGTGTTAGAAGTAGTAGGAGTTGAACTATTTCTTATCTTTGGTGTATAGGGACCTAAAGCATTTTTTACACCCTAATGCAAATGTATTAAAGCAGAGCTTTAAAATCTGCAGAATTTTCCAAAACCAAATGTGTCTGTACCCATACAAAGTAATGATATATAAAAACAAATTCTGATAATATTAGAAATATTTACAACAGAAATACAGAAATAGAAAAACTGCTGACTGAACAGCTTATCATGCAGGGGGGAGATTAGGAAAATATTGCTTTTGAAAGCACACCACAGCATTCAAACAGTCACTAAGACATCCACACGGATAAAAGGGTTTCCTTAGTATACTCACATCTTGGACTGAACAGGGTCATATCAGGGATGCAAGGCAATAAAAAAACGGAGAGCAGAGGAACAAGCCAAAGGTTTTCTTCTCTTCTCATGAAACTCTTCTGATGTTCTCACTTTTGATGTGTGTATGCTTTTGTCTTCTTGAGTGTGTTCATGTGTGTGTGATTGAGATGCTGCCTGCTGTGGTACTACTGAGTCAGTGACAAACCAGATAGAGAAGCTCCAGTGGGTTGTACCATATGTCATCATGTGGTAGGGGTGGACAGTGGTGCACCGGGCTGTTCCATTAAAAAAATAAAAAAAATAAAAAAAATTAAACATGCAAGCGGTCTGGATGCATGTGCAGCTGGTTCACTCTCTGCAACAGGAGCTCGATATTAGAAATTCCATCCTTGCAAATAGGAAGCTGCTGCAGAATGTACCCTTATTTCTATGCATTATGCATCATGTATTTTAATAGCTTCTACCTTACACTGCCCTTTAAAACAAACAAATATTTTGACATTTTAATCAAACATTAGAACTCCATAAATACATTTTTAAGTGTTATTTTGTTGGACAGAAGCAAATTAAATTTTATTCAAAATATACATTAAAAGCCAACAATTTGAACATTTTTACAGGTTTCCCCTACCCTTTGCATACACACTGTCTCTGCTCATTTTGGTTGTACTGAACATGAAGCTGCACCACACTGTTTAATCTCTATTTCTCCTGAGGAGAGGCTTTTATGTAGGTTTAATTGGCTTCTTTTAACAGCCAACCCAGGGCAAGACTGGCTGCAAGCCAAACCTTAATCTTAGTCCACTATGGAAAAAAAAAAAAAAGAAAAGATCATTACTTCTTTTCACACCACACTTAACCCAAAAACAATTACATTATTAAACTGTTAACCCTTTAGTAACTCACTTCTCAGCAGTGAAATGCAGCTGGACATCAGACAGTATATGAGCAGTTTGCCAGATGTAGTTTTAGAGTGGTTTGGTAATCTGTTTAAATAAAGAGATGTATGGAGGCCAAAACGTTAAATATGGTTTAATATAATCAGAATGTATTCTTAAATAGGTATGCCATCTTTAAATTTGCAGCTAATTCTTGATGTTTTCTTTTTAACAATGGATTACCTCTTGACACTTCTAAACCTGCTGAGTCAAAGTCATCATAGCGGTCCAGTCAACAGACTCTCCTACCAAAGCCCCTCTTTAATGCTCACGCGTCCATTTAAGCAACCAAGTCTCAGTGGGTCTCTGAGCCAAACTCTCCCCTCTTCCAGGTGAAGAAAAAAACAGCAGCGTGTTCAAAGCTGTGATTAGATTTAATAACCTAGCTGTTCTTTAAACATCTTGTCTGTTGTGTTCCCTGGTCTTTAAATAGTGTTTTTTCTTTACTAATGTCCTCTACCAAGTCTCGGAGGACTTCATAGAACATTTATAAAGGTATTTTATCACACAAAGCGGGACTTTGTTCAATGACTAGGTGACTCTGAAGGCAGTTGGTTGCACTGGGCTTTATGTTGTGGCATCTGAAAAACCAGGGGTGAAAGTCAGATTCAGAACACCTCAGATAATCTCTGAAGGGGCATAGAGTTTAAGCAACCCAGTCCACATTAGTCTAAAAAAACAAAGAAACATTTTGAACGCATGACAATTATAAAGAGACACTAAAACAAGCCTGCTGCATTTGGGGGCTACCTAATAAACATTTAAAATCAAACCTAACAAAAGGAATGAATACAACAGAGGAGCTTCTGCAGAGCAATCCTCTGGCCAGGACAGGTTAGGCAATTTTAAACTTATGTTTTTTGGAAACACAGATGGACCAATTATACCCTTATGCTTACTCTCCACTAATACATGGGTGGTTAGAGCTGTATGGTGATGTAATACAAGAGCAGAGCTCATACAAGGCCTCAATGTAAAATAATCTCTTTCTCTCTGCTGCGTGTGACATGCCACAGACAGGGGAGCCCAGCTGGCTGGTAAATCTTTTTATTCTTTTTAATAGATTAACATTTCTAAACTTTAATTCTAATTTTGAGTCATTCTTAGAACTAATACATTTTTGCCTGCATTTATAAAAAAAAAAGAAAGAAGCTGAGGTAAATTGATGTAAAAGAAACAGGTTTTATTGATGTAATGTATTTTGTTTTGCCTTTTAATATTCACACCACACTTTTTAATTTGTGAGTTTATTACATAGAAATCAGAATAAAATTCCTAAAGGGTGTAGTTTATGGACACCAAGCCTATACATATTTCTGGTCAAATCCTGTTTAATAAAAACACTAATAATTATTTGCTTAAAACACACTTTTATTTGCAACATATGAACATATAGAATATATATAATGTGTCAGAAATAATTTTGGATTTTATATCATTTAATTTTGAATAAACATACTGGCAGATGTTTAGCAGTCATCACAGAAAAAGATTCAAAATGCCTCCACCTTATTTCAGACTTCAGTCTGTGAGACAATTTATTTTTTTTTTTTTTTACTTTTTTTGGTTTACTGTAAACATTAAAAAGACCATAATAAAATTTCCAAAATAAATTACATCATAATGCTGAATTCTTTTTATTAATCTGTTCTTTTGCCACCAGGAAGACAGCTGCACAAACCTTATAGCATTACTTATTCAAATCTTTAATGTCTTATTTTACCAGCTATTTTTGCCCAGAATCCTCTATATTTTCACAGCTACAACACCACGAGAAGTATTCAGTCTGAAGTATTCTCCCATAAGAGGTAACGCAATACAAATCTTTGAGGAGCCAGCTGCATAATTGATCATTTCTATAACACAGGAGGATCAACATTGAGTAAAATTTTCCTCTTAATCCTACTTTTGAATTTTTTTTATATAAACCTGAGAGCTTGCTTAACAGCCTTAGATAAAAGATTTTTTTTTTTGTTTACTTTAGCAACATCCTGATTCTGATTATTTATATCTAGCACTTTTGTAAGGAAGTTAAAAGAATCAACAAAACCGAA